ATTTCATCATTAAAGAACACTGTAAGCATGGTTGTTCAGGCTTATAATACCGGCTACTCAGAAGGCAGAGATCAGGAGACTCAGTTCAAGACCAGGCCTAGGAAAAGCTATGAGATCCTTTCTGTGAAAAAATAAAAAGGGGATAAGGGTATGACTACGGTGGTAGTAAGAGCAAGTACAAGGTCTTGAGTTCAAGCCTTAGTACTGGAGTGGGAAGTCAGAATTAACAGTAATGGGGTTTCTAAAAAATATGTTAAACAAGATAAGAAATATTGTAAGAATTGGTAAGTCTCAAAGAACATTTGTCCCCTTTGTTAGAAGCCAAGCAAATCTAATTGCTGTAAACCAAGTTCAAGAAATTTTGAGGGGGCGGGGGAAGGATGGGATGGAAAGGGGAAACAAAGGAGGAGGCTACAATGCTTGATAAGAAATGTACTCATTATCTTGCCCATGTAATTGTAACCCCTCTATTCGGTATTTTCACAATTAAAAAAAAGAAATTTTGATCCTGCATTTGTAGTATCTGATTTTACCCAGACAGCTTTCAAAACAAGAAACAGGTTCAATCCAAACTCACTGTTTAAGACTTGCTAAGAAAACTTCCCTGTTAGAATATTATGGCAGGGCAAACAAGGAAAAGGATAAAAACTAAGGAATGTACTAACAAACCCTGGAGCCAGCCTAAATTCAAGGTCATGATTTGCTTATATCCTTATGGGCATCTTGAAAGCTGCAGGTGTAGCTCAGTGGTAGACCTCCTACCTACCCAGCAAGAAGCCCTGAGTTCAAACCCCAGCTGTGCCAAAAAAAGAATGCCAATGTCTCAGAACACAGAGAAATATCTCATTCAGGGACTGAGATATTTTCTCCCAAAAGTAGTCTATTAATGATATTTCTGGAATATTCCTCACTGCCAGCAAAGCCTAATGAATTCTTTTTTATATTCACCACTAGCCAAAATTCAGGACTCTAATCGAATTTTGTCCAGGATGAATAAACAGAAGAAATTTTAATGATACTACCCATGCTAGATTAAATAACAATGGAACAATATGTATGAGATTTAGGAGCAAGTGTCAAAGAAAAAAAGTTTTTAAAACTTAGACACTTTAATTTAAAAATAAATCATATTATATATTATTTTCTTATTAGCAACATGTAGACAGTGAAGACAGGAGTAGAGCATGAGCAAGAAGAGTCAGATAGACCTTCATCGAAACTAAACTTCACAATCCATTGAACTATAAACAAGTTATCTAACCTCTCTGAGTCTTTCCCCTCATCTGTCCTTTTGGACAAATTAGTATATCTTCAAAGCATCTCTAATCGCATTGTTGAGAGGATTATATGAGAAAATACATGCAAATGTATTTTTGTTTGTGTTCAACAAATAGCAGCTGCTACAATGACTGATGGTTCATCATAGCCATTTGGAAGAATGGAAATACAATTGTTCACACATCATTAGCTTAAGTGACTATTGCTGTAGAATCATTACACTTCATATGGGTTGAATTTTAAATGAATTCGCTAGAGAGATGCATTTACTTGAAAACATTAATAATTAAGAGCAAATGCAGCCAACCACTGAAAATGCTTACAAACATGTATTCATCTCCACGATATGTTGAAATACAGTGAAAAGATTAACACTCATTGTCTTCCAAAAAACAATAGGAAAAATGACTGGCAATTCAAAATATGAAATTCCAGTGGTTAAATCTTATTAACATATTTCTTCTAGCCCTTTGCATTTGCTGGGGATTCTTTTGGGGTGTGTGTGTGTGTGTGTGTGTGTGTGTGTGTGTGTGTGTGTGTGTGTGTGTGTGTGTGTGTGTGTGTGTGCACGCACGCTTTACTTACTCAGATTATTTATATTTCAGTGTCTCAACTCACATCCAGTTTTCCTCAAATCAGAATACTCATCTGAGGAGCCTCTACCTAGTGACACTTTCTCCAGAAAGCCTCCTTTGCCCATCCATTTATCTTCCACTGCAAATCTTCCCTCTGTGCTTTGGCTCAAATATAGTTATTATTTTCAAACTGTTCTCTGCAAAGTCTCATTCGTACATCTTTCTTTTTTGTTATTTATTTTGTTTTGTGCTGGTCCTGGGCCTAGGCACTGTCCCTGAACTTCTTTTGCTCAAGGCTAGCCCTCTACCATTTGAGCCACAGCTCCACTTCTGGCTTTTTGATAGTTTCTTGGAGATAAGAGTCTCACAGGCTTTTCTGCCCAGGCTGGCTTTAAACTACAATCCTCAGTTCTTAGCCTCCTGAGTAGGTAGGATTACAGGCATGAGTCACCAGTTTCATACTCATTCATTTTTCTTTCCTCCCTTTCCATTTTTCCTCAGCCACATCACATTAACTGCAGAACTTCACTCATGTTATTAATCTGCCTCTTGCCTAAAATAACCATTTTAAAAACTCTAATAAATAAAACAAATGTGGTTCAACCTTCTAAAATTGCAAAGATATTTAATAAAAACTTATCAGGGTCCAGGCACTAATGGCTCACACCTGTAATCCTAACTACTCAAGAGGCTGAGATCTAAAGATTCTGTTTTGAATCCAGCCCAGGCAGGAAAGGCCATGAAACTCTTATCTCCAATTAACACCAAAAAAGCCAGAAGTGGAATTGGCTCAAGTCATAGAGAACTGGCCTAAAGTTCAAGGACAGTACCTAGTCTCTATATTCAAGCCAAGCCCCAGGATCAGCATTATTAATCATAATAATAACTTATCAGGAAGTGTTGCCAGGTCTTCAGTGTTACCTGGCAAGTTATGTTGCTTGTTGGAAGGAGATATTCTTATGTTAAGTTGAAATATATAAAATTGACAATGTTTGATATTTGCCTATCATCAACTATGTGCTAACAAACCCACCCTGTGGTCTATTAGGTGTCATCCTAAAAGGAAAGCTAGGGCTGGGAAGGTGGCTCAGTCGTAAAGCGCTTGTCTTGCATGCCTGAAGCCCTGGGTTCGATTCCTCAGTACCACATAAGCAAAAAAAAGAAAGAAAGAAAGAAAGAAAATAGCTGGAAGTAGCACTGTGACTCAAATGGTAGAGCGCTAGCCTTGAGCTGAAGAGCTGAGGGACAGCACCCAGGCCCAGAGTTCAGGCCCCACAACCGGACCTGCCCCCCCCAAAAAAAGACAAGATTAGCTCTTGCTGTTCTTTTCTAGCTCTCTCTATCTCTCTCGCTGCTCTTTTCTAGCTCTCTCTGCTCTTGTCTAGCTCTTCTCAAGCTCTTTTCTCTCTGTGTGTTCTTTTCTAGCTCTCTCTATCTCTCTCGCTGCTCTTTTCTAGCTCTCTCTGCTCTTGTCTAGCTCTTCTCAAGCTCTTTTCTCTCTGTGTGTTCTTTTCTAGCTCTCTCTGCTCTCTTTGCTCTTTTCTCTCTCTTTCCCAGCCACATGGAGTGCCAACCTTGCCTGGTCCCAGCAGGTCTACTGAATAAACCTACCTCTTACCTGACTACCACGTGAGTGCCGCTGTTCTTACTCGGCTACCTCTCTCTGCTCTTGTCTAGCTCTTCTCAAGCTCTTTTCTCTCTCTTTTCCAGCTCTCTCTCTTTCCTAGGCCTTTCCCAGCCGCGTGGAGTGCCAACCTTGCCTGGTCCCAGCAGGTGTACTGAATAAACCTACCCCTTACCTGAATACCACGTGCGTGCTGATGCTGTCCTTACTCGGCTTCCTCTTTTAAAAACCTAACAGCCATGAGGCAAAAGATTTTGCTCTGCCATGTGCTTCTACCATGATGTGCTTCCCTCACAAAAAAAAAAAAAAAAAGGAAAGCTAGAAGACCTCTTGGAAGTTTTGAGAGAGACTGATTTGCCATATTTTAGCCAGAGCCCCGTCTTAAGCACTGGCCATATCTGACTTTGGCATCTGCAAGGCTCAGTTACCTCATTGATCAAACTGGTGGTGGAGTGATGGATCACTGACTAACTCTCTTAGAAATATCTCCATTTAACATTCTGTGACTCTAAAGCATCTACTTGTTGAATCTGCTTCCTGCTGGCCAACAAACCATCTCTTGTTAATTTACATCCAAGTCCATGTTCTGGGAGTTCCCTCCTTCCCAATGAACTGAGGTTACTTTGAGGACAAAAAGACCCTGACAAGAAGCAGATAGTACCTATGAGGCTCAATGTGCTGCTCCATGAGTTCATCACAAGTCAATTCATAGCCCACTTACCATTTTTCATTTTTTTAATTTGTTAATTTTATTAATTAAATGATCAACTAAGGTCAGAAGACTTCCCACCTTCTTATCCTCTATCTAAGTGGTCTGATCTGGAAGCACTTGTCCTGGGGATAACCAATAGTTAATGAGAGTTCATTAAGTGTATGTGGGAAGGACGTCCCCTACAGGGGAAAGGAGAAAATGAAATAGGGCCCAAGTAAGAAAGAGCAGAGCAATCACACTGAATTCCTGAAGTTGCTCTGCTAGAAAGGAACCTCATCAGATCATCCAGGTGTGTGTGGGAAAAGAGAGAAATGAGAAAATGCACTTGGGGGAGGAAAGAAAGCCAAACAAAGGTCCCTGGAGGATAAATCTGCTTAATAACTACCCCCATGTGAATAGTAGTGATTCAAGCCGAGCCCTCCCGAATCTTATGTATGAGAGACCTGGATACACAATTAGTATATGGTCATCTCCATTCGTGTTTGTTTCTTTTTCCTCCCTATTTCTCTTCTTTTCCCTTCCTATATTGCCTGATCTTAATTCCTTCTATTTTCCTTTATTTTCACGTAACTCCTATTTACACTTTGTCTAACTGTGCTTTCATAGGCAATTCCTGCCCTCGGTAATGGGAATATACACCCTGGAGTTCTGTTTACATCTTTTATTCATTTAAATTTTAGGAAAGAAAGCAAAGCAGAGGTATCTGGCCATATTCATTCTGCAGGTGGTTGTAATTATTATTCAAATTTAGGGAAGCATTAAGAGGAAACTCAGGAAATGAAAGATACTAATCTCCTGTCTTTGGTTTCAGCCTACAAGGAAAAAATGAAGGAGCTGTCCATGCTGTCGCTGATCTGCTCTTGCTTCTACCCAGAACCACGAAACATCAACATCTACACTTATGATGGTGAGTCCCCTGCGGGAGCCCCCTGCCAGCCTAAAACTCACAAAAATGTACAAGAAGAGCCCATGACACAATGAAATCAGCATTTTGTACATCTCACAATAGGATCCCATTTTTTTGCCTAGTCTGGCCTGAACAGCAATCCTCCTATTCACACTTTCCTCTTAGCTGGGATGATACCATCGCCTCCCTCTTATTTGTTGAGGTAAGGTCCTAATAACCTTGACCAGGCTAACCTTGAACCTCAATCCTCCTGATCTCTACTACCCAATTGAGAATATTGTAGGTATGAGCTAGCCACCATGCTAAGTTTCTTCTATATTGCTTCTGAGGGTACAAAGATAAATGACATGTCCCACACCATCAAGGGTCCCAGGGCTTAGTAAAGAGTCAGTCCTATTATGGAAATGATCAGTGAGTAGAAGAGTCTGGTTAGGACAGAGGAGGTGCTGGTGGTTTGGGCTGCCTTGGGAACTGAGAAGGAGACAGAAGGAAAGCATAAGCTGTGGATAAATTAACTCTTAGAAGATGAAGAAGTTCTGCCTCACTCACACACTACTTCCAAAACGTCAGGAAAGAGGCTGGGAATGTGGCTTAGTGGAAGAGTGCTTGCCTAGCACGCATGAAGCCCTAGGTTCCATTTCTCAGTACCACATATACAGAAAAAGCCGGAAGTGGTACCATCTCAAGTGGTAGAATGCTAGCCTTGAGCAAAAGAAGCTCAGAGATAGTGTCTGGGCCCTGAATTCAAGCTCTAGGACTGGCCACAAAAAAAAAAAAAGTCAGGGAAGAATTTCAAATTTCCAAAGCTTTAACTTGACTTTGTATTCCCAGCTTGATAATAACGTGAAATGTTTATTGCACACAAACACTGTAAGAAAAATTAATAATATTATTATTATCTATCTCTATAAACATGAAATATCATGATCTCTGCTTTACAGTCAAATTCCTTTATCTTTTAATCATCACAACAGTTAGGAGGAAGGTGTTTTTTTTTTTAAGACAGGGTCTCACTGTGTACCACAGGTTGGCCTCCAGCTCTCATTCCTCCTACCTCAGCATCTGAAGTAGCTGGGATCACTGGTGTGAGCCACCAGGAAAAGAGTGCTCTTTTTACCTCCATCTTTCAGATGTGGAAATGAAAGCTTAAAGAACTTAAACCCTGCTACTATTATCAGATATGCACATATTCAACCAAACTCAGATAAAAAATGTGAGCCAATGGCTCACATCTGTAACCCTAGCTACTCAGGAGGCTGAGAAACGAGGATCATGATTCAAAGCCAGTCTGGGCAGGAAAGTCTGTGAAACTCTTCTCTCCAATTAGGCACCAAAATAGCTAGAAATGGGGCTGTGGCTCAAGTGGTAGAGTGCTAGCCTTGAGCAAAAGAAAATCAGGGATAGCACCCAGGCCATGAGTTCAAGCCCCAGGACCAACACACACACACACACACACACACACACACACAAACTTGCACCTATGCTGAACATTTCGAGATTTTCTCTTGTCATTTTTTTCCCATGCAAGACAATGTAAGTGGCATATACATTATGTTAGGTACTAGAGTCGACCTAAGGTGTTCTGAAGGTTGGATGCAAATACTCCCTATTTTGTGTAAGAGCTCAGGGCATTTTTTGATTTTGGTGTCCTTAAGGGTTCTCAGTCAATGAAGGATGACTGTGACTCACCACAGAAAATGGCCTTACATCACAGAGTTTCAGATCACAAGCAGAGCAGTGATTCCAAATCAGAGGATACAGTCAAGTTTGAAACAAACCCACTCAGTTAAAATCCAAACTGACCACTGAGCTATTGTTTAAAATATATATATATATTACATTTTATGAGGTTATGTAGTTGTAAAAGTCTCAGCAGGTATTAGCTATCAATCTTTTATATTGTAAATTAGATTGTTTTACCATAAATCATAGCATGTAACATTAAAACTTGGAGATCTGATCTTCACCACATAAACCACCAATGAAACACTTCATTTTTGTTTTGCTTTTTTTTTAGTTGACAAAATAGAATATACTTACAAGATTTCGAAAGATGTGTACATTGCAGAATGGCCAAATCAAGCTAATTAACATATGCATTACTTTTCCTAGACTTACAGGGAGAACATAAAGTCTGACTTGGTGATTTTTAGTAGCACAACACTTTGTTGTTAACTATCATCACAGGCTGTACAAGAGGTTCCCTGTGACTGAAATCTTCTACCCTTTGACCAACAATTCCCAATATATATCCTCACCATCACCCCAGAGCTTTTGGTAACCACCTCTTTTGAATTCTATGAGTTCAACTTTTTTTTATAGATTCCACCTGTAAATGAGATCCTGTCTTTCTCTGCCTGGCTTATTTCACTTTGTATTATGGTCTCCAAGTTCATTGGTTTTTATCAAAAACTGGCAGGGTGCCCTTGTTTAGGGCTGAATAATTTTCTGAGTGGATATGTATGAATTAGAGAAGTAAAGGCTGCTTCACCCTACACTAATACAATGTCTCTTTCCCTGGCTCCAATTTGAGAAGCATTTTGAGAGAGTAGTGTAAGTAGCAATAAAGTAGGAGCAAAGACAGAACAGTGGAGTCTAGTCTATTGTCCCTTTCAGACAGGCAAGGATGCCTATAACAGAGAGGATACTACATCTACTGGTCTCAAAAAGTAGCAGACATCCTGACCAACCAACAGGGAGTTCACATGAGCATTCACATTTGCTTTGCCAAATGGAAGTTACCTTGTTTCTAGCCACCCCTGTGCTCCCCAGGCACAAAAATGGGTCTCTTAACTACTTATGTTTCATTATATGTGACAGCTCTGTTCTTTTTTTCATCATCTAATAGAAAAACACTTCCAGTTATGATATTTTAAAAAAATAAATCCATACTCCTTGGCTTTTATACAAAACTCATCTGTTCAAAAGAAAATTGAACTTCAAGTTAAACCTGTTTTTCTAAATATACCCTTCATTATTGAACTCTCTGTAGCTATTATTAAATTTCTCAACACTGTAAATATTTATTCTATCAAACTATATCCATAGTTATGCTAACAAGAGACTTTGTATATGTCCAAAACAATGTAGGCAAATTGCAAGTATCACTAATTTATCTCCTGGAATAACAATGCTGCTTTCAATTGCTGGGCCCCAAATTTTTTAATTAATTGCATTCTCCAAACTCTCAATGCTCCACTGGATGCTTGAACTTAACTTTCTCCAACTTTCTCAGATATGGAAGTGAAGCAGATCAACAAACGCGCTTCTGGCCAGGCTTTTGAGCTGATCTTAAAGCCACCATCTCCTGTCTCTGAAGCGCCCCGAACTTTAGCTTCTCCAAAGAAGAAAGACCTGTCCCTGGAGGAGATCCAGAAGAAGCTGGAGGCTGCTGAAGAAAGAAGAAAGGTAACTTTCCCCCTAGATAGTTGTTCTTTTCTCTCCTTTCCCTTTCCCTTGCCTTTCCCTCCCTCCCTCCTTGTTCTTGTTCTCTCTCTGTCTCTTTCTTTTTGTCTGTCTGCTTGTCTGTCTTTTACTTCCTCTCTCTTTCTCTTTCTCTCTCACACACACATATGCATACACACAGAGAGAGAGAGAGAGAGAGAGAGAGAGAGAGAGAGAGAGAAAGAGAGAGAGATAAGCAGAGGTGTCTGGGAAGGAAGACCAGCTTGACCATCACACCATGTGCCAAATCTCCAGAAAACTTAGAGCCAGGCTTGTTAGGGTAAAAATTTTCTTCAATTCTACAGTACACCAACAGAGCTTCAGTGTCCTAATGTCCACACTCCTCCTCAGAGCTCCAGCTCTAGATGAATCCCAGTGTTGGAGGGACAGGAGTGTAGATTCCTCCTTCTCAGGGTCCACAGGTCACCCTCAGTGCAATGCAGAGCTTTCCTTGGAACTACCAGCTCCCAGGTGGAAGTGAGATCCAGAGGGCTGGAGCTCACCTTCTTTCTTCCCAGAGCCTCACTGTCTGCCCTTGAACTTAATCCTTCCAACAAATTAATCTTCTAAGAGACCCTGGGTTATCTTCTGCCCATTTCCAAGCCTTAAGGGAATTTGTTTCTGTTTTTGTCATTGCTTCCTGCTTGTGTTACAGATGTTTTCCATTTTAAAAAAATCTTAATTTTCTCCAAGCAAGTGCTAAGAAAAGCCAAGGGCATTCAGATTTGAAGTCACTAAGAAATCTGAGCAGGGCTTAGTGGTAGAGAGCTGGCCAACATGCATGAAGCCCTGGGTTTGATTCCTTAGTACCACATAAACAGAAAACGGCAGAAGTGGTGCTGTGGTTCAAGTGGTAGAGTACTAGCCTTGAGCAAAAGAAGCTTAGGTTCAAGCCCCAGGACTGGCAAAAAAGAAAAGGAAGAAAAGAACTGAAAAGAAATCCAAGCAACTCTATACTATAGAAGTTCCATATGAGTGGACATGCTCCAGGCAAGTGCTATGGCTGTGGTTCTCTTCCAGGCACTCCTGATTACCCGAACATAGAATTCTCTCCCTACATCATATTTTCCCTGTAAGTTTTATCACGTATTTTTCACTCAGGTAGTCACAATATATATACTCTATACACAGACTTATGGGAATGGAAATTGCATTTTAATATTTTTCATTTGATGAAGATATTGTCTATAAAATATCAGCTACAACATTAAACACTTTGGTGCTATGGAATTACTGAAAGAATGAAAAGTGTCCTTCTCTTCACTACTGAATTGTCCAGCAGGGAATTCAGAACAAGCAGAAATATAGGGTGGGGAGGAGTACATAGATATAGATGTAGAGACAGACATGCACTCAGAGAGAGGGAGGGGGAGAGAGAGAGAAAGCGAGAGAGAGAGAGATTTGAAGCTCTCAGATTAAATTTCCAAATAAGAAAATAATATCCTTTATGTCTGAAAAAATCTTCCTATGATATGTAATATGCTACTCCCAATTTCAGTTTCTCACTTTAGAATGAGACTCCTTAGGTATCTAATGATATTATATATATATATATATATATATATATATATATATATATATATGCTCTTTTACCAAGTTCTGTTATAGTCATAGATTTCATAAAAATTTAAATTTAAAAAAAAGAGGAAACTGATCAGGGCAGGGTGCTGCACACCTATAATCCCAATTACTCAGAAGGCCAAGGCAGTGATCAAAAGTTTGAGGTCAGCTGAGCCAAAGTTACCTAAACCCTACTTCTAAAACCAAAATAGAGACAAAAGGAGGACTGGGGTGTGGCACAAGTGGTAGCGCACCTCCCTAGCCACCTCATAGCCCTGGGTTCAATCTTCACTTCTCCCCACCCCCAAAAAATGAAACTGACCTGACTTATGCAATTGTAACCTCATTGTACAACTACTTCATAACAACAATAATAATTTTTAAAAGAATTTTTAAATTCAGGTAAGAAGAAAAGAGGAAACTGACATACTAACTCAAGCATATATGCAGGAATCGTTTTTTAAATTATCACCTTTTAATTATTTATAGCTTTTCTTCTCATAGTAAAGCTACAATAAATAATCCAGACTTCTAGGCCATCAGAACTTTGCTGCATTGGACATGACTCAGCCCCTAAGGAGTTGCGGCATGGAGCCAGATTATATTCTTGCCATAAGATGTATCTTACCATGATCAGCATGTGGTAGGTATAGGCTCTAAATTGCTCATGAATTGTCACACTGAGATCAGAACATGAAGTCATTAACTGAGCTGAGATTAAACCCAAAAACCAAAAGTCAGTGTCATGGTTAAGTTTATTGATGGTATTTCTAATATATTTAATTCAAAGAAAATTATTGAAAGGAAAAGAACAGAGATGATCAAAATTAACTAGGTGCTAACTTAGAAAACTCATCACAATCCCTTTGTTAGCTAAAGATTCTAATGAAACTGCATTCTGACAGAAATAAATGATCAACAACTATACATGTAAACCTTTAAATTGCAGAAGAAATTGACCACAGCTAGAAGACACTTTGAAGCCTTTTCAAAGCAGTATTGTATCATATTCTTATTATTTGTTAAAATTCCCATTACATGGAAATGGCACTGTGGCTCAAGTGATAAAGCACTAGCCTACTAGTCTTAATCCAAAGAAGCTCAGAACAGTACCCAAGCCCGGAGTTTAAGCCCCAGGACCTAAAAAAAAAAAAAGTCTTTTATGAAAGGCACTATCTAGGTTATGTTCTTGTGGTAGAGTTTTAATTAGAAGAAAGTATAATTAACACAAAATACCAATTTAAAGAGAGTCATCAATTGATTTTATTCTATTGGATGGTGCTGACTTAATTAGTGCTTATTTGAAGAACCTAAATCTTATTAAAATCTTCAGCTAGTACATATATCTCAGTAAATATCCTAGCAAGGACATGCAGAGAACTAAAGCGTAATTCAGTTATCTAGAGCAAAAAGTGAGTGTGTGACTTGAAAGTCTAGGAATGGGACTAGGAATGTGTTTTAGTGGTAAAGTGCTTGCCTAGCATGCATGAAACCCTGAGTTCAATTCCTCAATACCACATAAACAGAAAAAGCCAGAAGTGGTGCTGTGGCTCCAGAGGTGCTAGCCTTGAGCAAAAGAAACTCAGGGACAATGCCCCAGCCCTGAGTTCAAGTCCTAAGACTGGCAAAAAAAGAAAAAAAATGTCTAGGAATATCTTCAGCATAAGGAACAGCAGAGCACCAAGCTGCAAGTTCAAATCCCAGTGCCACCAAAAATTTTTTAAAGGGGGCTGGAACAGCTGTATCCACATGATTAAACTATATTGTCAGAAAACTTTCCATCATTTCTTCTTGCTTCTAATTGGCTTCAATACCAAGAAGTCTAGCTTTAGTTAGTTCCAATATTATCTCTCTAATTTAACAATTCCAGCAGAAAGAGGACTTCTCTTCCCCAGTAGTCCTAAGAAAGTCCTAGAATTGCATTCCTATGAACTCATCTAGATCAGCCAATAGCTATGGCCAAGGTGTGCAGGAATTTGCATATTTTTAAAGCTTGTATTTCCCATTAAATTATAGACTCCATAAAGATAGAGATATCTGTGTATTGTTTAATCGTGACTGCAATAGATCATACACCACATTTTTAACTTCTGTGGTCAAACTCTGATCCACCACTTCCATATGCCCTCATGCAAATCACATATTTATCTCCTTTTGCCCATGACTAGAGTGGGGCTTGTTTTAGTTCTACATCATGGAGCTATGTGAGAATTAGGTTCATCAGCCTAACATACGGAACAAGTACTGTCGGTGCCTTGTCCATCATTCCTAAAAATACATCCAATTCTGGACCTCACAGAGTCTAGCAACTCAGGATTCTATAAAGAGCATAGCTTTGATTAACACAGATAGCTAGCAAAATGTTACCAGATAAATCATTTCATAAATGTTTTTAAAGACCATAAATACTCTATCAAACTGCGTAGTGTGTAGACTGTATAAACAGTCTGGTATATTATGTTTAAATACATAAGTAGGTCAGTCCAACTAAATGTGACTCGAAACAATTAGTATTGTGGGAAAAAAATAAACAGTTAAGTGGCAACACTGCATCCTAAAATAGACTAGATTAAATTAAAAAGCACTCCTCAAAGAAATGCAGTGAGATTTAATTCACATACTAACATCCCCAGCACAGGTGGTGCTCAGGTCCCTTGAAGCTAAGGCAACTGAGATGAAAACCAGAACCGGGGGGGGGGGGGGGGGGGGGCTTACAACTGTGGGTTTATATCATCCTGTGCTGGCTTTTCACACTTTGCTATTCAGGAAGACAGTGTGACCCCACCACCGCCACTACAGAGCCCTCCCTGGCACTATTCCTGGGTGAAGAGTCCACACTTTGGGTACAACCCCCCAAAATCTCTTCCTAGGAGCAGAAAGGCTTCAGAATAAGAAGGGCTCATTCTCAAATGCTTTGTATTTTATTCATTATTAATTTTTTCTTATACCTCTGGCTTTCCAACCCAACATGAATCTTGCCGTCCTTGGTTAATATAACTACGCCAGATTGTCATACTTCAAGGCATCATTCGTGACTGTAGATGGGCTACAGTGCATTGTTAGCAGAAAAGCGGATCGCTACAGACACATCATCCAACCTGCAAGTGTGCAGGCATGTGTGTCCTGGGACGTTTGACATTTGATAAAGAGTCTGAATTACAAGTGATAAATTCCCCAATTCCCCAACACGATAGACAGGGACACAAAAATAAGGTGGAGGGAACATGTTTACTTCAGAAATGAGTGGAAATTATTGCCATCTAAAACCTAGTCTTAAGTCGTAGTAAAATAAAATTTTATGTACCAATTAACTTGAATTTATCTTCCATTTCATTTGCACAGCCATTCAACTCTTAAACCCAGCACTCTAAGTAAGAAATGGTAATTAACTTCCCTGAAAAAAAAATGGTGAAATGTTCCTAAATGTCCAATAACTCTGATCCTATAGGCCTCATTGCTCTCATAAATTGTAGCCATCCTGAGCTCATGTGAAGGGCTTTACCTCTACGGAAGGTGCCTCAGTTTCTATATCAGCAACAGACTGCAGAGATTGATTTTGCCTTCACAGATGCATTCTATTAGCTGATTGTTATCTTGATCATTAATGGTCCAAGTTAGTAGTTTAGCAACCTTATGTGTGAGGTGCACACTCTTAAAAATGTTCCTCCAAGATCAGCTACTTTATCTTTGAACAATTTCTTTCCAACAATCTTTAGCAAATCACCTCTCTCCCACTCCCTTACCAGCTTTTGTGCTGATCTACCCAACCAAAGTATGTCATAATACTACCTACTTGCACAAGGAGGAAGCATGTAACTTCTACCACAACTTTGTATGTCACACATCTTTGTTCTACTCATGTCAGGTCATGTTTTGGTGCAATATTTATGGCTAGTTTTAATTAATGGTCTTGTTCATTAATTAAAAATACTTGAATCAGAGCTGGGCACTGGTGGCTCATGTCTGGGATCCTAGCTATTCAGAAGGCTGAGATCTGCAGAGCACAGTTCAAAACCATTTCAGGCAAAAAAAATTCCATGTAATTCCTATCTCCAGTTTAACCACTAAAAACAAACTGGAAGTGGAGCTGTGGCTTACGTGATAGAGCACTAGCCTTGAACAAAAAGGCTCAGGGAAAGTGCCAAGGCCTTGAATTCAAGCTCCAGAACCAGTTTAAAAAAAAAACTAGAATCAATACTATTTTTCTTCATAGTATAACTGAAGATTAAATTATATTCATGTGAAAATCAACTTCTCCCTAGGGATAAAGCTAGAGACATTGTAGGGCAGCAGTAGCTGGATGCTAGTCGATGATGAAGGGGTGAGGTTCACTTTCAGTGGAGGTGCACATCACCTCCCTATTCAACCTCTTCTTCCCTCTTTCCCTCCTTCTTCCCCTCCCCCCCCCTTCATGGCAACCAACTCCATTAAAGAATTTTCCTAAGCATGGATTATTTACAAGTAGGAATCAAAAGACAGATCCCTAAGTATTCTCTCAGTGAAGAACGCTTTCCGCCATAACAAATTCCATATCTTAGTATATTTTTCAGAGATTTGAGCTTTAACTATATGAAGTATAGACAGTTACAGGGCCTGCAAATGCATTGGTTGGAGTAACGGTGGATTTAAGATTTCCTTCAGTGTGAAGGCCAGGTATCCAGAAGAAAACAGCCCAGGACGTCTTTGTCAGTTAGCAACAAACTCTAGATTCCCTTCTATTTCTGTATCACTCAGTTAACAGGGCTAAAAACATGCACTTCATACCTCTATTGTGAGATTTCCTGTAGCCCCAGTGGCTACAAAAGTATTAGCCATACTACATGAGGGCAGCCAGTCTTGCATTGCTGAACCTGTAGTAGTCATTACTCTCAGCTCCTAATGCTGAGTGGGAGAGTACTTGTTCATGCAACCAAGTGTGGCCCACCAAGGCAAGAAACTTGAAAAGGCACATAGTGCTATGTTACTCTTTTCATTTCAATGCATTCCCTTCTCAACCTTCCTCTCCTGCTGTCTCCTCTTTGTCTCTATTGCAAAAAAAATTAAGGCTCAAATATGAACATTAAGTGAAAGCACAAGCAAACAAATTACTGGAGTTACTTGGAGTTTATGGAAATGAACATTTCAGGCATTTCAGGCCTCAAGTCAGCGTCATAGCACCACCTTGCAGTAAATCCTGTCTCCACAGTGACAGGGTGGCCCACACACTCCCCACAGTAGGATGAAAAGAGGCTTTTAGAGTTCCAGGTTGGGGCTAATTTCCCTGTGCCACAGGAGCTCCTGCAGGAAGGCTGCTAGAAACAAAGGGCCATGGAAAAGCCAGAGGAATGCTGTCAGGACAGCATGAGGACCCTCATATAGGAGAAGCGAAAGAAAGGAACTGCTAAGGCTGAACGAGTCTCTAGCTACCCTTAGCAGGTGTGGCCCATGGACCAAATGAACATTAACTAGTCATACATTCAGGTAGAAAGTAATTAATAGCACCACACTGGAGGATTTTGAATGGATACGTTTTGTTCTGCTTCATTGGGACTTGCTTGGTTTGGTTTTATTTCCTGGGACTGCCAAAGGCTCCCATCCCACTCCTAATGCTTGGACATATCACACCCTTGTGTGGTGATCAGCATCCTTCTTCCTTTGGCCGGGAGATCCCAGATAGAGAACTTGCTGGAATGGAAGGTTGAAATGGCTTCCTCTTCTTTGTAAGGTGCAATTCACCATGGGGTTGCCTATTCATATGACCTCCTTCAGGAGACAGTGCATGGCTGGGGATGAAGGAATTTTAGAAAAGGACTTAGACTGTACTCAACCATAAGAGCCCGCAAATCCTTCTCCTCATCCTCCTCCCCTCTTTCCTCCTCTCCTTCCTCCCCATTCAAACTCTTCTTCCCCATTTCCCTCCTTCCTCCCTCCCCTTTCCCCCTTTCATCTTTATTAATCCTGGTAGCCCTACATAAGCAAAATCTGCATAGGCTGCTTTTTATCGGCAGGCCCCCTAGAGGTAAAAGAGTGAAAGTACTACATAGTAGGTAATTAATTTTTCTTTGTAGAAAGCCTCCATTCAGTTGTGAACTGTTCATGTTATCATTTTCTATGCCTTCCATATAATCTTTCACACAAGCTAAAACAAAGGGACAGTGTGAGAAGTCCACTAAAAATGTCAGTAAAACCATTACAGGATGAAAGCAAGAAGCAGGCCAGTCTCCGTGATTTTCTGCCTAATCCCCCACAAAGCCACAGACTTTGAAATAGACACATCAAACAAGCCCCCGCCCCCATTAAAAAAAAAAAAAAAACTGCTGTCTGATTTTACCATGTCTATAAAATTTTAGGTGAGGATAACAGCTTTCCTTTTTCCTTTTGAGGCCCAATATTGCATAGGCATGATCTTTCAAAAATAACTACCACGACCACAACCATCAACTACCATGTTCTCCTAGTGATACTTTCTATGGAAATCAACATTTAACAGCTTCTTTGGGGATTTTTTTTGGGGGGGGAGGGACTACCACTGTTTACCTAGTCACATGTACAGCCTTCCCTGATGCAAGGACTTAACTCAGAACATCAGCCATACTCAAGGAACTGACTAGGAACAATAAATGTGTGATCAGTTGGTCTTAGCCTGGATAGATTAGTACTGGATAAGATTTCTCTTTGCTGTATAGTGTGGAGGAGAAAAATAATACTTCCAAGGTTAACAAGGCAGCTAAGGCTCAAACACGCCATTGAGAGCACCAGTGCATTTTGCACCAAGTAGCCTGGTTCTCCCTGCACTACAATCACTGGGGCGATTGGAAGATGTAGATTCCTGGGCCCCACCAGAGAACCTTGCAGTCAGAACCTCTGGATGTAGATAGCAGTACCAGTATGTTTATCAAGTAGCCCAGTGATGATGTGCACCCTAGGAGTCCAGGGGCCTCCTGATGCTGGAAGAGAATTGCAGTTCCTCAAACAGGGGAGGGGCTGACGGAAGCACCTCTAACTTCTAACTGGTTTTTCTGTTCTAATCAAAGTAGCAACCATGGGGTTTCAGTGCATACCCAGAATGTTTTAAGTGAGGATCAGAATAAGGGCTTTCTGCTAGCTGTGACCAAATAGGTGTTAAGCTGATACTGATCATCCAAAGACGATCTAGCCCATGGGGAAAGAGAGCACAAACCCAGGATAGGAAGAAAGTGAATTTAGTTAGGCAACAGTGGTTTAGACCTGTGAATCCCAGCTACTTGAGAGGTTAAGATCAGGACGATTATAGTTCAAGGCCAGTCTGGGCAGAAAAGTTTAAGAGACACCTTCTCAACCACTAGCTGGGCTTTTATCTGACACCCTAGCTATGTGGTTGAGATCAGGCTGATATCAGGAGGATCGTAGGTTCAGGGCAGCCTAGTCAGAAAATTCTTCAGACTCCCATTTCAACACAAGCTGGGCATGGTGGCAAGTGTCTGTTATGCCAGCTATCATAGAAAGCCTAAAATAACTGGAATACAGTCCAAGTATGTGGCCTGGGAAGAAGCAAGACTATCCCAAAAACAATCAGTGCAGATAGGTACCGGTGGCTCACATCTATAACCCTAGCTACTCAGGAGGCTGAGCTCTCAGAATCTTAGAGACTCTTCCTTCCAATTAAGTAACAAAAGACTGGATCTGAAGGTGTGGCTCAAGTGGTAGATGAACAGCCATAAGCAAAAACGCCAAGCAAGACCATGATACCCAGAGTTTAAGTCCCATACCAAAACATAGAAAATAAATCACCTGTGTTAAAAGTGTTGGTATGGCTCTAGACAATGCAAAGCTCCAATACTACCAAGAAAGAGAGAGAGAGAGAGAGAGAGAGAGAGAAAGGAAGGAAGGAAGGAAGGAAGGAAGGAGGGAGGGAGGGAGGGAGAAGGAGAGAAGGAAGGAAGAATGAAGGTAAACGAAGGAAAGTGATTTAATAATTTGATTGACAAAAATCAAAAAGCTTATCTTAGGGTCCAGCCTACAGCTGGTCAAAAAACAATGGAGCAGAGAAAGGACAGAAAGGAAAGGAAAAAGTGGCCAACTCCTCACCCATGTTCCTCAGGTTTCAAAGCAATGTTCCTATCCAGAAATTAATTATAGCACTTCCCTTTACAAAGTGCTTAGCTGCAACATTTTTTAATGAATGAGAGTTAAATGTTTCTCCTAAAACAATCTACCCCCCCACAAAATTCACAGCTTGAAAATTCAGCCACATTTCCCAGCTAACCACATTCTATAGAAAACTCTACACTGTGCATGTTAAGTGTGGAACTGAAGGCAGTGTGCTAGGCTGCAGGTTAGGCTCCTCTGAAAGGAAGGAACTTCCTCCACTCCTGTCAGGCATTCAGAGATTTATCAGCTGGCTTTGTTTATCTTTCCCAGTCTCAGGAGGCCCAGGTGTTGAAACAATTGGCAGAGAAGAGGGAGCATGAGAGAGAGGTCCTTCAGAAGGCTTTGGAGGAGAATAACAACTTCAGCAAGATGGCGGAGGAAAAGCTGATCCTGAAAATGGAACAAATTAAGGAAAACCGTGAGGCAAATCTAGCTGCTATTATTGAACGTCTGCAGGAAAAGGTAATCTCAGTGAAGTCCTGAGCATGTGGATGCATTTGTAAGACACACAGTTGAGTGTGTCTTGATTCCCCAGGAATCAAGAGACTTAGTCACAGTTTGCTGCAGATGCAAGTTCATGAACCCTTATGATCAGGGTCTCACCATGCAACACTGACTTGGTTGGGGATATAACACAGGAAAGAAAATGGACATACAACATTTGCATGGGATTACATTTGCATGGGATTTGTATCCAATTTCCCAGTGGTGAATAGGCTCAGGAAGGCTAATTCAAACGTTAAGACCCAATCTGTATTAAAAAATACTACCTTGGAAATATTGAGTATTATATTATGATAGTAGTATATAATATTAGTGCAATGTAAATATTATTTGGTTTAATAAATATTTGCATTTACTAGAAATATTAAACTGGAAAAAATATGTTTGTCAGGAAAGGCAAGGGCATTTCTGAACACCTTAATGGGTAAGCCAATTCTCTCCATGCAGGAAAATCCATGAGGGATTGTGTGGGAATGACAGCAGAGGAGATGGCCCACTTACCAGGTTCTGGTACTCTGGTGCCTTCCTTTTCAGCACTCAGCATATATCCATCCCATCAATCAGGAAGAGCCGTGCAAGTTCCTCTACAATGTTTCCCCTTCTGTCCTGCAGGCTCTGTGCATCTAACCTCTTACAAACTTAAAGTAAAAAAAATAATAAAGCTCAGTGAGTTTTGTCCAATATCCAGAAATTGAGTTAAGCTTAAAATTAAGAACTGGAGGGCTGGGAAGGTGGCTCAGTGGTAGAGTGCTTGCCTTGAATTCATGAGGCCCTGGGTTCGATTCCTCAGCACCACATAAGCAAAAAAAGCCAGAAGTGGCACTGTGGCTCAAATAATAGAGTGCTAGCCTTGAGCTGAAGAGCTGAGAGACAGCATTCAGGCCCAGAGTTCAAGCCTCATGACCGACAAAAAAAAAAATTAAGAACTAGCCAGGCTTCCCTGGCTCACATTTGCAATGCCATCTACTAGGGAAGCTGAGATCTGAGGATCAAGGTTCAAAGCCATCCTGGGCAAGAATGTCTATGAGACTCTTATCTCCAGCTAACCATCAAAAAGCCAGAAGTAGAGCTGTGGCTAAATGGTAGAGCACTAACCTTGAGTGAAGAAGCTAAAGAACGGTGTCAAGGCCCTAAATTCAAACCATAGTACCAGCCCAACCCCCCAAAAAAAGAAAAATTAATCATTTTTTTCCTGTTGTAAAGTTGCAATTTTTATGAAGCTTTAAATTTAAGTCTGTTTTTTGTTGTGGTTGCTCTTTTGTTTTAAGCAAGGTCTGAAATTTTTTCTTAGTTTTTTTTGTAAGAGCTCAGCTCTCACTAATGAATCTCCTTTTGCATGAGAAGAAGACCCTGCTATCTCTTTCTCCTCATAATGAGAGAGCAGAAAAAAAGAATGAGCTGCATCTGTGCTAATTTCCTCCAAATTTCCCAACAGGACTTGATTTCCCTATACATTCCTTTTATCTCTTCCCAGTTTTTGAATATATATTTTGCAAAGCTCATTTAAGCAAATTAAATAAAATTGCTTTGGAACTTCTTCGGTAGAGTCAACTTCCTGCTTCCTCCAAGTCTATGTTTTTGGAGGAAGTAGAGAGAGCATGCTATTTTTTTTCTTCCAGAACCTACACCTGAAAAGGACTGTTTTTCCAAGTTCTCATGTGCAGCTGTCTCTGCACAAGTAGCTGAGTTTGCAGGGCAGTGGTTACACAGATGCACTGTAGAGCCAGGCTCTCTAGGGTTCAGTCTCAGCTCAGACACCAGAATTTATGAGAACTTCATCCTCTCTATGCCCTTTTACTGTAAACAGTAAAAGCATAAGGATTAAGAGAAATAACATAGGGAAACTATGTTTTGATGTGGGTCCGATATATATTAAGCACTCATTAGATGCTTAGTATCACAACACAAAGGACCATGTGAGTGTAGATTCCTTGATGTTATTAGAGTTTTGTAAGATTGGCTTTGGAGTTGGCCAAAGTCGTTGGAGCTGGCCAAAGTCGTTGGCCCTGAACTAAAGGAAACTACATAAAAGAAAAAGCAATATAAGCAATATTCAACATTCAATATAAGCAGTATTCAAATAGTAATATTACTAATGATTAGCATTTTAAAATTCAATTTAATGAACACTGAATGCCTATAATTTGCTTATAGTAATATACATGTGGCTATGTGCTAAAAAAAAATCCTGGACCCAGAGTTGAGCACCCAGAGCAAGGCTGGCATCTTTGTTCCTAATGTAAATAAACAACTACCAATCATATGCTGCTTACAAGTAGAACAATTTTTTTTAATTGTTTTAAAGCTGGATGCCAGTCATGCCTGTAATCCTAACTACTCAGGAGGCTAAGATCTGAGGATCGCAGTTCAAAGCCAGCCCAGACAGGAAAGTCTGTGAGATTTATCTCCAATTGACCACCAGAAAACCAGAAGTGGCTCTGTGGCTCAAGTGGTAGAGTGCTAGCCTTGAGCTGAAGAGCTCAAAGATAGTGCCCAGGAAAAAAACTGTTTTAAATACCAGTCTTTCAGTGAGCATAGAGTTAAACATAACAAATGAGACAAATAAAATGGGCATTCTTCTTAAGTTAGAACAAAATGACTGCCACATAAAATGTAAGATTTATTTATTTATTTTATATAAAGTGTAAAATTACAGTCTGGTGGTCTCATGAAAACCTTTGTAGAGAAAGAGGACTGTGAAAGTCCACACAGATGTAGTGCTAGAGACTGGAAATTGCAAACACTGAAAATCACAAGAAATGGTGGCTCATGCCTGTAATCCTAACTACCCAGGAGGCTGAGATCTGAGGATCACAATTCAAAGCCAGCCCAAGCAGGAAAGTCTATGAGACTCTTATCTCCAATTAACTCCCAGAAAACCGTAAGTGGCACTGTGGCTCAAAGTGCTAGACTTGAACAAAAAAAAAAGCTCAGCGATAGCACCCAGGCCTGGAATTCAAGCCCTACAACCAGAACAAAGAGGGGGGGGGGGGACAGAAGAATCCTTAATATGCACAAAGGTGCAGAGGCTAAGATTGTAAAAGTCACTGGATTCAAGCTGCAAAGGGCCTTGATGATCAAGACATTAGAAAACAGTCCAAAATGCCTTCTTCCTAAATCAAACCTTTCCCAGGTGCCCACCAGCAATAATAAATTCCTTCAAACTCTAGGGAAATGGAAAGACACCATAAGAATGATTTCAGGGGAACCAACAGGGTGGCTTCATCTCTACCCTCAGATTTTACACAGAAGTCGTGGTCACAATTCTCTTAGACATCTGACTTTTTGCCACAGTTTCAACCAAAAACTTATTGTTTCATGTTAAAGGCACTGTAAGGCCAGGGCTGGGATATGGCTCCCTGGTAGAATACATGCCTAGCATATACAAGGCATGGGATTTGAGACTCAGCACTAGAAGTCTTGTAAGACTTTTTTTTTTTTTCCTAACGTGGCATTTCCTGGGGCCCACATTTGCCTTTTTGTGAAATCTGCATTGTTCCTTTAAGGAATTCCTGCCTTTATGTCGACACCAAACCAAGTTACTTGGAGCCATGTGCATGTTAAGCAAAGCAAAGGAAGATCGTGCTATTTCTGCATGGACCGCATGTGCTCTGTGACATTTTCCCTTTGGTGTTTTGTAGGAGAGGCACGCCGCCGAGGTGCGCAGGAACAAGGAACTCCAGGTTGAACTGTCCGGCTGAAGCGATGGAGGGAACGGCACGCCCCTAACCAATAGTAAATCCCCCTGCCTATATTATAATGGATCATGCGATATCAGTATGGGAAATGTATGACATGGTTTAAAAAAGAACTCATTATAAAAAAACAAAACTCAAAAACAAAAACAGAATCAAAAATAAAAAAATCAATGCGGTCTCTTTGCAGAATGTTTTGCTTGATGTTTAAAAAAAAAAACCTTGGATCTTATTTTGTAAATACTTACATTTTTGTTAAAAAATACAAGTATTGCATTATGCAAGTTATTTCATAATCTTACATGTCCTGTAACAGGCTTTTGATGTGTCTTTCCACTCAAATGAATTTGCTAAGTCTGTTCTTTTTGACGCTCCCCAAGTCTAACTCCATTCCCTGCCCTCTTCATTCCAACAGAAAAACAAAATGAGGTCAGTAGACAGTCTATGGTGCTAGAAACCCACCATTGCCTAATGACCTAGATGACTTTGTCACTTCTGAGCTTGACTAAGACCATACCTACATCCCAGGTATTGTGGCTACACACGAACTTCCACATTTGTTTGCTCATAATCTACTGAACTGCCTAGAATCTACAAACCCAGGCTAAGAAAAACCACCCGTCCTAGCATTTACTTCTGCTTCTAATGGTTATGTGCTACAAATGTGTTTTGACTTTAGAAAGGGATGGATAAGAGGACAGATCTGAGATGGATCTGGGTAGAAGCATAGGGTGGAACCTTTTCAAGGGCAGAACACAGACCCCCACCTAAGTGGTTCAAGCAGCCGTGAAACCACTCTTCATAACGTGGGCTTTCTCCTCTAGTTTCAGTTCTTTCAATAGGATGAATTAATTAATGTGTCGGGTGGCTTATTTGTGGATGCCATGGTCGATGATGTTCATTTTAAGCTTATACCTATAGTACAAGTACATGATGCTACTGAACCTTTTTATCCACTTGGAAACTGTGAGCTGGTTGTTGCATTCAAACACAAACACAAAATCACAAGACACTGCGGACTTTCACACAAGCTGGTCTTTCTTCCCCAGTGTGAGGCAATCCTGCATATATATATATATAGATATAGATACAGATATAGGTATATATCTATATGTATATTCATTCCATCTGTGAAGCAGACGCAGTTCGGGGGATCTAGGCAGGGCATTTGTGCCAACTAAGAGAATCACCAGAAAACCCACCACAAGTACCTATCGCAGTTTTGAAGTTGTTTCTCCCCCCCTAACTCCTCCCAACTCCTGAAGGTTGCTGCCTGCATATTTACTCCTCATTAGTGCTATTTTCCTGTATGTCATTGTGAGCAAGCTGTGATTAATAAAGAATTGGAGTTCTGTGAACTAATAAAGGTTTGGTCTGTTCTCTCACCCCTTGGTGTTCTAACTCTGTCGTTCAGATTTAAAGAAGAGATGGCTATTGGGTTGGACCATCTCACCAGCACGGAGAAGCAGTAATTAGTTTGAAGGCAGCCAATGCCCTGCTGATTCGCTTCCCTTCTGGAGCAGCAGGCCCAGTTCTCTAGTCCTCCTCCTGCTACAGGCCGACACAGCGGGAGAGGCCTTCAACCTGTTCCCCTCACAGCACCTGGGACTGAAAGAGAAGCCAAAGGTTGCTGGTGGTAGTGGGGAGGAAGAAAACCCCTGCCAAGGCATTGGAAGGCTCCTGCACTACTCAGGTTCACTCATGTGGCCCTCAGGTTGCCTCCCCCAGCCAAGGCCGTCTGTTAAAATGAGATTTCCCTGGCCTACTGCCGGGCTGTATACTGCCAAGAAGCAAATCACACACATGGACACAGCATGGTTTGACAGTGACCCAGATGGATGTTCTAGGGCCAAAGGAACAGTTTTAGCAGGAAGTCATAAATAATTGAAGCCCTGTAGAATTGTGGATGAGAACATTGAGCTTTCATCCACAGAAACCCTAAGTAGCCAAGTGGAAGAGGTAGCTACCAGCCTATTAAGCATCCTTCAATATTCGTGGGAATAAAATCTCTACTTTAAGAGATCAATGTTTCTGATTGCCACTGAACATCCTTTTTCACAATGATTTTATATCAATTAATCTGAAAATATTAATTACATTATTTTCATTGGGCCAGACCTATGATTAAGCCCTGGGAACAAGAATATAAATGACCACTAGCTTATAGCAACTTAATTTGTCCTCAAAATCATGAACAGTATATGTTGACCAGTCTGTGCGGCATACTGAGGGCACACATAATTTTCATAAAGCTTTTTATTTGTCAGTCATGGGGCTTGAACTCTAGGCCTGGGCACTGTCCCTCAGCTCATCAGCTCAAGGCTAGTGCTCTACCACTTGAGCCACAACACCACTTCCGGTTTTCTGGTGGTTAATTGGAGATAAAAGTCTCACAGACTTTCCTGCCCAGGCTGACTTTGAACCACTTTCCTCAGATCTCAGTCTCCTGAGTAGCTAGGGTTACGGGCGTGAGCCCCTAGGACCCTACTTCATGAAGCTGTTTGAAAGATTATTAAGAATTGCCTGGCACCAATGGCTCACACCTGTAAATCCTAGCTACTCAGAAGGCTGAGATCTGAGGATTATGGTTTAAAAGCCACCCAGAGCAGGAAAGTTCATGACTTTTCAATAAACAAGCAAAACTTACAAAAAGAAATTGGCATTCTCATACAGCACTTTAAGTTTCTAAACTGGACTTGCTAGCCAGGCCAACTGCTTCATCTAAAAAAGGAGAGGTTACGGATTTTCTCCAGGGAACAATACCCACATCCTAACAGTTTTATTTTTTCTCCTTTCTAGTAGTTCATGGGCATGCCATCCCCAATTCTGACCTCTCCGGTAAGAACAGGTTTTGTCAGTGAAGCTGCCCTAGACCTATGATCCTCAACTATTAGTGTTGCCTCAAAGGTTTATGAGAGAGGAGGCTTAATAAAAAGGAAACAGTTGGCTGAGCCCCGTGCCCAGATTTTCTGATGCCAAGGGCTGCTCTGCAAAGCCTGAAAGTGCACATTGTAAGTGCCTTCTCCAGGTGATGCTAAGATTACCTCTCAACCTTCCTTGAGAAGCCCTGTTAGGAGCAAACTGATCCACATGTGTTGATTCCTCATGGCTGCCACCTTGTGGCCGCTTCTGTCAGGGCATGTCCCACGGAGAGCAGGGTGCCAGTGGCTCACGTCTGTAATCCTAGCTACTCAGGAAGCTAGGACCTGAGGATCAAGATCTCCAGTTAACCACCAAAAAGCTGGAAGTGGAGATGTGGCTCAAGGGGTGGAACACAAGCCTTGAGAAAAGAAAAGAAAAAAAAAGCTCAAGGGCAGCTCTCCCAGGCCCGGAGTTCAAGCCCCAGAACCAGTACACAAGAAGAAGGAGGAGGAGGCCAATCTTAAGAAAGTAAGAATGGTTCTCTTCAGTAGGGCTTGCAGATGTGGGACTGGGTGCCTCTTGGAGCAAGATGAAAGGTTTGGCATCTCTGTCCTCACTGCGTCTGTCCCCTTTGCAGCCTTAACCTACCAACACCATGACTGGAAACACCAGGCCATAAAAGAAGCCAAAACTGGTGGCACCAACTTTCTGGCATGTTTCAGCCTAGTCCCAGAAAAGACCCGAGTCTTCCTCAACTGCATTAGTCTGTCTCCCTCCCTTCTTCTTCTAGCCCTATACCTCAAACTCCTCAAGTCTTTAAATGAGACGCTGATGTGGGAGCCGAGATTCCCATTTCTCCAGTCTTTGACTACTAATCATGCTCTTTCTGCTCCTTTCAAGAAAAATTTAAGTATTGTATGTGGATTGCAAAGTAATCCAAGAAGAAGAAAAGTAACCAACTACCACTTGCTGGACCGTGAGACAATGGGAGGCATGCACCCACCCCCACCCCCAGGGGCTGGCATGTGGCTGAAAACCAGGTGCGGTGAGGAGACTGATCTGGCCATCTCTCACAACACATATTTCAGGAGGGCTCCCAATACCTGAAGATGCCCCTGGCCCTCTCAGAAATGGACTGAGCGTTCTTTGCAGCTATGATACCATTTAGTACCTTATCCAGCCCAGTCTGGTTCCATGTCAAAAGTTCTGATAACAGATCTTTTTCACTGAGCCTGGCTTTCCTCTCTGCTATGCTTAAATCGTGTCAATGTCTTTGACCACTCTGTGAAATTTTTCCAAGATCCTATTTCCTGGATGACTCACCCAACTTTCTTATCGCCTATACACTCAAGACTGAACATTGACAGGTGCTCTTCTCTGCGGAGAGCCAAACGTCCATTCTTATGGCAAATACTTGGAATCAGCAATTTATAAAGATAAAAAGGTTGTTTTAGTTCACCACTGTGGAGGTTCCAGCCCATGATCAGTTGACTCCATTTCTTTAGGACCTGTGGAGCAGCAATACCACATGGCAGGAGAGTAAGGGGGAGCAGAATGGCTCACCTCATGGCTGAGGAGAGAAAGAGAGAGAAAGGAACTGAGTCCCATAATCCTCTTTATGCCCACGCCTCCAATGACCTGAGAAAACACTCACGAGGCTCTACCTCTTATAATCCTATTCTATAACCTTCCCACAGCAGCATGAGCAGAGAAACAAGTCTTTAACACGTGGTCTTTGGGGAACACTCCACACTCAAACTTTCGCACCTGCCTTTGGGCTCCTTACCCACTCCATACTGCAGAGAATACAACATAGTACATATACTAAGAGGTCTATCCACAACATCGCCCCCTCCCCAATGGAAAAACTGAGAAGGGAGAGATGTGATACGCTCCGCACCTGCCTTCCTGGCTCCGGACAATACTATTATCCTTGATATCTCAATCAGGTTATTTGCTGGAAACTGCTAAGGCAAACGGAGCCCAAAGCAAAGTCCCTCAAATGATGTCAAAGTTATCATGGGTTGCCCATTGTCCCCTGTCATCATCTCCAATTGATCATCAAGTAGCCATTTGACCTCCCCATTGTCCTTCACTTCTTGTTCTAATTCCACAATTCTGCGTACATTTGGGTCCTATTAAACTCTTCCTCCTCAAACATGTCTTTATTCCAGTCTGCCCTTACACAACCATTAGGTCTTTTCTCTACTTTATCATCCCTTCCCTTTATATGCAGTTGAAATCTGAGGCCCTCTTACAACATTGAAGCACTCACCATCTCTCTCTTTCGCAGAAAAGCTACTCTTCTTAACACTGCAAACTATCCACCCTGCCACGAAGTGACATTTTGGCCTCTGTTGTATTCTCTATAGAGTTATCTTTACCATACTTTAAGTCAAGAAAGACTGAGTTAGGCGGTAACATAAAGTGGAAAAACAGACTTTTAAATAATGGCAAATTAAAGTTTTGTTCCCCACTCTTGCTACATACCCAGTGGGTCACCATGCTCATGGGTGTCGTGTCTCCCGCTGTAGCCAAAGGCCAGTGGCATAGACTCTGCTGCTCCCTGTGGGGAAGGAAATGTACTCACGTGACAGCGATGCAGTCTCTCTTACAATGTCCACACACAAGCAGCGCTCATCATATTCTACTGCCCCAAACAAGACATATGACCTCACTGAACTCCAAACAGAAATAAGCTAGGATTACTAGGATTCATTTATGAGAGTTATTAGAAAGACAATTTTCAAGCTCATTTTATCTATGATAAGAACCTATATATATATATATATATGCTATATATACAATACATATAATATATACAAATATATAATATATACAATAAAATACTGTATATATAATATATACATAGATATACAATAAAATCGTATGTATCTGAGAATATTTTTTCTAAAAAAATATACTCCCTTGCCTACAATGAAGAACTATGCTTACATACATGTTTCTGGAATCATTTTTAAACAAATGGGGCATAAATAAATCAATTTCTACTCCCAGCTTGGTATGCACACACATATAAGTCAGACACACATTTACTGATGAAGAAACCTATCACCAGGGACAACAGAAAGAATCAGTTATAAATTCAATCAGCTGTTGACAACTTTCCAGATGCAATCCATTGATTTCCTCATTAATGAGCATGCCTTTAGCAATGCTATTTTGCTTATATACCTTTTTTTCTCATTATCTACTGGAGATGAATGATTAATGAGAAAATTATACACCATAAAGAAGTAATAGGGAGCAGCCAAGCAACTCAGAAGTTCCTCTAGAGCATTCAGTTTCCAAGACAGGTGTTATATGAAAGAAACACCACTTTTGGTACAGAGTGGAAAACAAGTGCAGTCATAAAGGTGGTGAAAAATCTACTAAACATGAGCAATGTTTCCCTTACAGACCATTACAGAGTCAGATGGAAGTATCAACATTAAACTAACTTGGCTGAGTTTATATTTTTGGATACCAGAGAAGAAAACAAGAAAAGCACTAGATATAGGGT